TTGGTTGTCTGTCTCTAAGTGTAGCCCTGTGATAGACTGGTGACCTGTCCAGGGTGTCCCCTGCCTTCACCCTGAGTCTGCTGGGATAGACTCCAGTGACCCTAGTGAGGATTATGTGGCGTATAGATAATGGATAAATGGTTAAATCCCACTTGAACATTTCTGACTGAGAATAAATGATCTAGATAGGACCTTTTTGCCAGGTATTCTGTCATTTTTCTCAACACAAACAAGTATAAATGCCATCAAAATCAGATTTTCCTTCCTCTAAATAACCACAGACCAATATTGGTAATAAACAAAAAATAACAGAAATAGTGTGCCCTAATTATAACAAACAAATTGAAATGACTGGATTCTTCATCTTACAGCTGTGAGAAAAACATATTCCTCACTGTCAAGCGTTTAGTGAGTCCAGTGTGAGTCGACCATGATAAGGCATGTCCGGAGCAGATGGAGTTTAGAGCTATCACACACAGCGTTCGGATTTGCAGCCTTGAGACTTAATCGTCAAACCACGATTGCCATATCTATGGCTTATTGTTGGAAAGTCTTATCTTACCTGTTTGTCCAAACAAGCAGGGCTTCTTGGAGACCTCTTCACCCTGTTGATTACTTGCTCCTTTGTTTGGGGAGACTCTGAGAAGAGGAACAAGTGGGACAAATTAGAGCAAGAAATGACTCACATGCTATCATTTCAGAAAGAAACGCAAAGTGTAGAAAAACAAAAGTTTATGGAAGACACTTTTCTTCATTTTTACCTGCTGGCCTGGGTGGCACACTGTCATGCTGAATGCGATAGACCTTATACGGCTCAGTGATGTCCAGCTGGTTGCGTTCAGGAACCTCCTGGAAGTCTGTGCTTTTGTTAAGTGCACAGCGGAGACGGGTTTTCCACATGGTGGGATCGGCTTTATCCCTGCCCTCCCTGTATTTGCCCTTGTACACAGCCCAGGCCTGAAAATTAAAATTTGATATATGAGGTGCTTATTTAAAAATATACCAGTACAATTGGAAAAAACAAAACTAACATGAAAACAACTGGGAACTACATTGTGAACTACATGTATTTCACTGTACTTTATCAGAATTTATTAAATGGCAGTGTCATGGTTGCCTAAACTATATCTTCTTCTGATATTTAGTATCTTTACAAAGTCCATCCAGAGAAAACGTCAGGAGAGTAAGACAAACGTGTCATCGTGTCATGTTAGTTTAAGACAGAGGACATCAGTTTGCATTAAAAACATGGGTTCATCAGACTATTACTATTATTACTTGTTTCATGCACTAACACAAGTTTCACTGCGTTACCTTAAACTTCAGAAAATGAGATCAAATATTGGGCTTTGCAAGCATTTATTGTGTTTTTTTAGGATAAAACTGGCTTTCTGGTTTATTCTTATTATCACATTATTATAGTGATGACCTGAAAATACACTGACAACAAAATCTTTTTATTAAATATACTTAACAATAAAATATTAAATGACTATACGACATAAGACTGTTGCATTTAACACAAACCCATAAGGGAACGAAACTAACAGAAATGGAATCAAAACTGAAAGCCAGAATAGTCCAGTGAAGATCGCTTATTTGTAAGAGGTCAGCATTTACAGATTTTTAAAGCTCTATGACATTTGTGGGTGTTCCTGCTAATCCAAGAGCTGTAGGATAATGTTCTCAGCTCATAAAGGACAACCTTTCAGTGCATAAGGGTAAACTGGCATAAGATGCCCCCATTTAGAACAATAATTAATTTCTTTTACAATATATTTTTTAAATGCCAGTTTAAAAGAAAGATGGTTAATTAAACAAATATAGAAAGTACTCAAATTATAATTACAATTTAGTTATGATAAAACTAAGTGTAAAGTCTTCCCCCTGGAGTTATTTTGAAAGCGTTTTATTTATGCATGATTAGGTTTATTTCTAAATGCTAATATTTTTCTTACTTTAATTACAGCATAAATGTTAACTAACACATGCAGAAACTATTTTTTAAAACGGTTTGATTGTTGCAACTTAATTTAGAACTGATGGGCCTTGAACAAATCACAGTCAGAGAGATTCTAAACGTACCATGACTTTATTGTCACTGATATTTAAATTCCTTCCATAAAAATGATATCAAATCAGCAGAGACACTTCCAGGCCTACAAAATAAAAAATTCAAGCTAGCTCGTTAGCTAGTGCTACAGCAGGCTAATGTAGCATGACATTATTAGCTTAACACAGAGTCAACTTGATAGAATTGTAAACAAATAATTTTACATTTTTATTGCTGGTTAGCTATTATGTTACTGTAGTAGAAGAAAGTGTACTTTTTAAAAATATATATATTAAAAAAAATCTAACATTAGCAAAGCTAATACGTGAATGGCTTCACTTTAAAGTCCTCTTATGGTTTCACATATACATATTTATTTTATTTTATTCAAAATAATGCATACCTCTGCATATACCTGTTATGTAAACAGTGTAAAAAGATTGTTTATGTATATTCTTCTTTTAAAAAACATACAAAGGCTCATTTTGTACTGTCAAAAACTACATATGTGAATTCCTCACACCAGTAAATAGCTTTTATCAGTGTTTAAAGGTTAGCAAGGCTGCTAGCATCCAAGGCAGGAGCTAAAACAACAACTGACTTTATTCAGTGGTCAGGAGGGGAATTACGGTTTACCATACCTAATTACATCAGAACAGTGATGTTGTTAACCGCTTTAAGATTTATTTTTATTTGGTATTATTGTTGGATCACAACTCATGCAAGAGAGGCTTGCAAGACAGTTTGCAACGAAGACTTTTTTTGTTGTTGACATAGTTAAACATAATTATTACATATTGATATATTTTTGATAGTTTTTAAGCTGTTATTGTAAACAGGATTAAAACATTTACAAACGTGCTAAAACACCATTAGTTTCAGAGTGACCTAACAGACAGTGCGGACCTTGAACAGAGCTGCATCCTCCGTCTGCTTGTAGTCCTTCTTGGCTGCGTGTTTCCACGGGATCCTGAACATGGTTTTGTCCTCATCCTCCCAGCACAGTCCTTCATACCTCCCGCTGTCTATCTGAGCTACCAGCCACTCTTTCAGGTGCAACTTGGCTCCCTCTTCCATCTTCAACACATGCTGCGGTGTCGCAGGAACAAAACTGTTCTGTCAAACCTCAGACAGACATGTGCAAAATAGCCCCGAGCTCACTCTAACCACCTTGCAGACGGGAAAGAAAACACAAAAAGTGCTGCCCGCGTTGTAATATGATGTTAAGCACAGTAAAAACCGGCCTAATTACCCAAGTAAGCATACAAATTGTAGACAAACAAGTCTCACCGCAAAAAAAATTAAATGCAGAAGTCGCACCTAAGATCTGCGCTCTTACAAGCGAAAGCGAAAGTTTAGGAGCTCATTTGATACTTTCGGTTTCCCCCCCAGTAGCTCGCTGAGATACAGAGAAAGTTTAACCTTTTCTAAGGAAGGTGCATCAGTTGTGGGGGGGAGGAGGTGAGAAAAACTGCATTAACGCGAGAAGAATGCAAAACTATGTTGCAAATGATGTGGGTTTTATTTATGTAAGAGGCAATCTGACGTTGAAAAATGGAGCAAAACTTCATCCAGACTTGTTAAAACGTGGCAACTTTACTGAATCAGAGTCGATGTTGTTTAGTCTACAAAACTGCCAAATTAAAAAAAATGTTGCTTTCTTAATTGGGAAATTCTCATTTTCCCCCACTGATGCATAGTCAGTTTTCAGTAACAGGACAGAATCAAGAAGCATTAATCACATTAACCAGAATAAACACACATACACACACACACACACACACACACACACACACACACACACACACACACCACAGTCATACCGAAACATTCATGTGAAAATGAAAGTGTGCAAGTGTATAGGTTTTTTTTTTATTTCCCAGAGGCCACTACCCTGATCTTTGTGTTTCATGTTGGTGACTGAAGCCAACTCTTCAGTTTATGATACTGAAAGGCTCAACAAAAATGCAAAGTTCACTTTGATAAGAGATGTAAAGAAGACTATAATGATTAAAAGACAGTTTTAGTTTCCCTCAGCAGGGGGCAGTGTAGGTCTGACCATTACCACAAAGTGACTGAAACAAACATCTGGGCACCAGATTATAAATAAAATGAATATGGTGGATGGAGATTGATGCAAAAACTTTTTGTTCTGTTAATAAAATTTAAGGCTCATATATTAAAGTGCCATCAGTTAAGGATTTGATCTATTACAGCTAGTTGCTCACCCACTTACTGCTGGTCTTGGTGACTGTACAGGAAACAGTGGGATGACACAAAAATCTACACATGCAGCCACACTGAACTCACTTCAACCTTTTCATGCTTCCATTGTCAGGCCTGCATTTTGCCAGTTATTGTATCAGCAAACATCCACCCACAGTGGAGTAAGTCGTCGCAATCTGAAACTTCGGCCTGCTTCAACCTTCTGTCTCTTCAACAAACTCTCATTTATGTGTGAGGCTTTTACGAACAACTAATAATGTGAAATTGTGGACAAGGAATCATTTCCATTTTTGTTGTTGTTGTTGGATACTTCGTGCCACTCTTACACCACCACTGATGTATGCAAAAACATCATTCTTGTTGTTAAAGTTCAACGCTCAGACGTTAAAGTATATACAACAGGGCCCGAGGTTGATAGCTAGACTCTTCTATTCTCTTCTGTTCTGTTCTATTCATTACCAAACTCTGTTCAATCTGCTGATTCCCTCTCAGTCTTTAAGAAAAGACTAAAGACCCAGCTCTTCACTGAACACCTTTGCACTTGACAGACTGAAAACAAATAAACAAACAAAGAAAAAATAAAATCCTATTGCCTCCCACACAGCCTGCTAATGGCATCAACGCCCTATCACACTTGAATCTGATCTATGGCACTTATCTAGGTTGTTTTCTCCTGACTAGATCCTTGCTTGTGTTGTATCTGCTCTCAGATGTATGTCGCTTTAGGTAAAAGCGTCTGCTAAATGAAATTGCAGAATTGTAGAATTGTACCTGATTCGTTACAGTTTACAATTACTTTTACTTATTGGTGAGATAACAGGAAACTGTTCAGGTGCTGGAAACAGTGGGGTCGCAAAAACACTACATACGCAGTCTCAGTGAACTTCCTGACTTCCACTGTCAACCTTGCAAGTCATTCCGTTACCAAGTCAACTCATGCACCCATAGTTTCAGCCCTCGTTCCTTCAGTCATACTCTAATTATTGTGAGACTGTTTCACAGATAGTAGAGTCATTCCACCTCAATTTCTTTTTCTTTTTAAAGTTCCCATCTCACATATTAGTCCAATTTTTTTTTCTGTGCATACATATGCTAGTTAGTAACGTGTGAAAAATGTGGTTTCAGATGTTGTAAGGCGTCGATTTTTGCATCATTTTCTTCGCACCAATCTGTGGAGCAGTGTTTGAAGTGCCACAACTTGAGAATAATGTAGATAGAGTCTTGAAATTTTGACGGCTCATTGACATGTACATATGGTCTTCACTGGTACAATCCTGCTTTGACACAACAACACATACCAGTTATATCATGGTGTAAATTTGTTTTTAAAAAATACAGCGCAAAAATCAACATGACCGCACCTTTTTAACTCAAAAACTAATGTTACCTTAGAAACCCGATTGTACACAAGGTCAACTCAGTTAATATTCAACACTTTAAAAAAAAATCTGTCAAATTGAAAATGGTCAGGCATCCAGCAGCTAATAGTAAAGCTAATCATGCCACATTTCTAAATTTCCTTTTATTTCTAGTCTTTAGGAAAGCTCATCTCATGTTGGAGTGTAAGCCGAGATCCATCATATAACAACCATCCTTAGAGGGTTTGACCTTTTAAACTGCAACAACCCACTGCAGCATAATTTCCAGTCTTTTTCAGACATAGGTGTTAATTTATATAAATCTGTGTCCGTTTAAAATTTTAGATATTTTTTTACACTTTATCTTTCCTCAACCATTTCAGCACACGCTTTCAAAATGAGGACCTGTGCAACAATACCACAAATTTCTGACTCAGAAATTACCGCACAGTTCAATTAGCATCTCTTTGATGCGGCGTCCAAGTGTTTTTTTTTTTTGAAAAATCTGAAACGAATCCCTCTCATGCAATCGTACACAGTGTTTAGCTCTAAAAGGCTTTACAGCGTGGTAAACAAAAAGACACAGAACCTCCCACGCGCTGCTATGTATGTTGTTCTCGCTATATAATGCCCGTGTCAAATACTCGGCAAGCTGTTTTATTCATACAGCACATTTCATTACACCTAAAGCTCAATGTGCTTCACAGAAACATTCACTCGCTCAAAGACATAAAAGAACCCACATCCACCTCACAGACGTAAACCACAAGCGCGCTCACAGTTACTAAGCCTGAGAAGTTTCCAGTTTGCTGTTGAGTAGGCAGTCACTTGCTACAGAACTCAGGTCAGCAGGTAAAAGAAGAAGCAACAATCAAAGCAAATATTTGTGTGGGAACTTGTAAGAAAGTGCAATACCAGCATGCGCCCTCTTCTAACTTGGCAATCATATACGTGTGCTTCTCATCCAGATTAAACAATACATCAGAAGGTGGCTTTGTTGCTTTTCTCCCAGTTTATTGTACCAGTTCAGCAGTAAAACATAGTTGCGACATTGGAGCCCACTGTTGAACAGATTAGCCAGCTCTCAATAAATAGACCTTTTAAATATGAAAGATTGTATTACAGCAGAGAAATATAAACCTGAAAATGTCGAGCACATAGAACAAGATGCTTCCTACAAAGCTTCCCCTCTTCTCGCTCTCTTTCTTCGCTCTCTCTGACAGCTCAGTTATTTGTTGCTAGAAAAATGGGTCAGGTTTATGAGGCAAACAGAGGTGTGCCGAGTTTGCACTCAGTGCTCGTGTCAAAGTAGTTTTCTGTCAACTTTCTTCTCGTTTCCTTGAGTGTACTATCCCGAGAAAGAAAACGGGGCAGCATTACATACAGGAAAAAAAAAAAAAAAAAAAAAAACACAAATCCAAGTGACATTTCAGGAAATAAATACACTTGCTTTGTTTGAAAAAAATATTTACACAGTATTGTACATAGAAGAAATACAAATTCCATCCCCGTTTCTCAGCCTCATATATATATATCTATGTATGTGTGTATGTGCATTTGTATGTGTGTGTGTGTTGCAACAACTCTGCCTAATGGCATCGTCCTCCCCTGCAGGACAATGCGTGCCGCCACACTGCAAAAACTGCTCAAGGAAAAGCTCAAAGAATGCGACAAAGAGCTCGAGCCATTGAGTGTCTGTGAGGGAAGACCCCTGATCCTCAAAGGTGCCACCTTACAACAAGGACCCAAAGGATCTGCTGCTTACGTCCCAGTGCCACATAGGGGTCGTGTCCATGTCCCGTTTTGTCGGCAAAAGGGCGGCCGACACAATACTAGGCAGGTGGTTTTAATGTTGTGGCTGACTGGTGCATCTACAGGAAAAGAATCAACTACAATAATTATAAAAATTATTGAAATAAACAAAAGATTGTCGACTGAATGAATATACAGTACAATCACTGCTTTAAATGTCTTGTATACACAGTAGAAAGCACAAACGTGAGTGCATGTATGTGCGCTCTTGCGGCGAGACGTCTTAAATTGGTTCAGCTTTAGGTTTGGCCACACAAAACAACACTAACTTCAGGAAAACTTAGAAAAATGAAACAAGAGCTCATTCCACACAGGAAGCTGTCCCGGATTCTCGGAAAACATCCATAAAATTCACATACTACATTTTGCAATCCGTTCTTGACGTTTCAAATGACAGCAAAGGGGGGAAAAGCCCTCATGAGTGTGTGCGTACGCATGTGTCCGTGTGAAGACAGTCTTAGTGGCAGCCACAAGCTCTGACCACCATGTTGCGGTATTTCTTGAGGATGACGTTGGAGCTGTCATCGAAGTAGAGCACAGAGATTGCGTGGAGCTGTGTGGGGGCGCAGCAAGGCTTAGGGACTGTCTCTGGGTTGATGAAATGAACCTGGGAAGATCGGGAGGAAGTCAGATGTTAAGCTCAACGTGAACACTGACAACAGGTATGCATCACAAAACTACTGCGGAAAAGAATTTGTTGTGTGTCACATCAGTGCCAAATTACTGATGACAGTTTACACTAAAACACAGTCCACAGCTCTTTTGAATGATTAGACACAGTAGTTCCAACAGCAGCCGCATTGTCTTGACGTTTGATGAGATGATTAGACTCTAAAACATCACTGCTGCAGTTTTTTTGTTCTCTGGTTTCATGGTTACTCACAAGGGTTTGCACAATGGCATGGTTTGTGGCGTTCATGTAGGAGTTCAGCGGGAAGGCACACTCTCCCTCGCAGTAATATGCTGCATATCCTTCTGGAGCGATGATCCAGTCCTTGAAAGCGAAGGAGACGGAGAGAAATTCAGGTTGGCTAATCGGATTTTCTCTCAGCTCTAAGTGTTGTCTACAGATCCTAGTGTGCCTACGCATCATGCTACACATACGAGGTGTGTCAGAAAAGTTCCAGGACTGGTGTCACAACAGATATATTTCAAACCCAAACTACAAGTTTTCCCCTTCAGACAATCAACCAGCGCGTCTATAACGAGATCCTGTGGTGTTTGCTTCGTTCAGTGCAGGAGAAGAGGCGAGAGCTGTGGTAGGATAAGTCGAGGCTGCTTCACCATGACAACGCGCCCGTTCACAATGCCCTGAGCATCCGACAGTTCCTGGCTGGAGCAACCTCCCTACTCACCCGACCTGGCTCCATGGGATTTTTTTCCTCTTCCCCAAGCTCAAGGGGGTCATCAAGGGGACCCATTTTGAAGACGTGGACGACATCAAGATGGCTGTGACGATGGAGCTGCGGAAGATCCCGGGAGAATCCTTCCAGGAGTGCATGGCAGCGTGGCAGAGAAGGCTGGGAAAGTACTCCAGGGGGATTACTTTGAAGGGGAAAACTTGTAGTTTGTAGCTTGGATTAGAAATATCTCTTTTGTGAAACCAGTCCTGAAACTTTTCTGACAGAGTTTGGACATCCTGTATGTTGGCAGTGGAGGGGGGGAGCTCATCCAATAGGTGGATTTCCAGTTTTATCAACTGCAAGCTTTTCTCACCTCGCTTATATCAAATGAACATGAAACAGACACAGTTCAGAGTGAATTTAGTGAGCACGTTGAACTAAAGCTGTAAAAGTGAGGTGGAAATGAAACCCTTGAGTATTTGTGGGGTTCTGCTATGTCATTCATCAGGATTCTGGGATGAGACTAGAGACTAACAAAACAGTCTCTGGTGTAGACGTCTTTTGGGCCAAGCGGCTTTGGCGACCTGAAAGAAGAACTGTTTCCATACCTGCCACCCCAAGTCTCGGAAACTGACGTAGAGCTCATGCTTCTTACACGCCTGCTTCTGATCAGTACTGCTGTTTTCTGAGGAGCACACAGAGAAAAAGAAAGATTCTAATTCAGCACAAGTGCTATTATCCTATTCAGCTACAGGAGAAACTATTTACTGCAGTCAGATTCCAATTACTCAGCGGTGATAAAGAACAGACCTAAACACAGCCAATGTGCTCATACAAAACATTAACATTTCAACAATGAGGGAAATCACCTCCAGATACAGCAGCAGTTTGGTAACAGTTTCAAATGAACGGGCCACCCTGCTTAGAGGTCACTCTGCGGGGCTTAAGAGTTTCCAGTGGATGAGAAAGAGGTGCACGATGTGTAGCCTCACCACATTTTTCATAACTCAAGATTTGATGTTTTCTCTCTCCAGCCTTCACTCATTTCAACATTTTTTTTGTGTTCAGTGTGTGTTCATGTGTCCAAGAAGAATTGTCTGTTTTCTATCCAATGGCATCTCTCTCTCTCTTCCTTTGCTGACCTCTGGGGCTCTGTGGTACACATTAGTCCCCTGAAAGCGGTTCACACTGGAAATGATCATGAGCGACTGCTTCTCATCAGCCAATTAAAGACCAAATGGTATCCAAAGTTCCAAACAGGCCCATTTGGCCCATGTGTCGTGGCCCCGGTTGCCCCACAGCACACCGCAGATGTGTTCTGCCATAAAAGCCTGCACTGCCTTACCTCCATGCAGGGAACTTGGCCCCAACTGCTCTGTAATGCTTGTGTAAATAAACAAAGACAGCAGAGGGATATTTGAAGCTCAAGCATTACAGTCTAATGTTTCAGTGCTTCACATAAACACATCCCTCTCACACCTCCAAAACAAAGGCCCTCAATATGCACTGCATGTTTTGTCTTGCAGGAATCACATCAGTTCCAGTGACATATTGTTGTATTTTGGTGTATGTGTGTGAGCATGCTGTATGTGTTGGCCCTTTTACTATGAAAATAAAGAGAATTGCCTCATATGGACCGGCCAGTATCAGTCATCTGTGTCCCATTCCATGAATTCCTCACAGCCCAAACAAAAGACAGATTAAACTAGAGCTTAGCCCAACACAACAGCATAAATCAGCGCTGAATATATATACAGCACACACTCTTTCTATGTTTACCTGCAACATTGGCCACTCTGAGTGCCTCTTGGCTCTTTGCCCCTTTGGAGCGGTTGGAGTTCCGTTGTTTGGCCCCCCCTGACGCCGAGCGGATGCTTCGCAGGTGCACCTCAGTGGCTTTGAAGAAGGCCACCATGAAGGGCTGTTTATTCTGAGGCCCACTGCGACCAATCAGGCCTGCCACACGAGGATTGATACTCTCTCCTGTGCAGGGTGACAGAGAGAACAACACCACAGGTGTTGGCATGTCAAAAAAAATCCAGATTATATTTAAACAGGGAAGTGTATAAATGAGAACAGTTGAGATTTAGAAATGAAATAAATGTGCGCCTGTGCTTCAAGTTTGTTTTGCATGTGGGTGGTCCTTTTCCTAACCAAAACCATTTTTGTCGTGTCTGTAATCCTACATTCAGTTTTACAAATGATATTTTCTTTTGTGAATTCCTTTCCTTTTTTTTCTCATCCCTTCTCCACTTCTGAAATGCCAAGAACAAATGCAGCTCCGAACATCAAAGCCTCTCTCCTTATGTTTGTCTGTGTGGGTGTGTTTGTGCATGCGCGTGTGCATGCGATCCAGCAGTGTCTGTCTTGTTCTCACACAGAAGAATGTGTGTCTGATCACCGTTCGGTGGTAAATCAAGGCTTCTGGTCGCTGCTGGCGACGGGACGTCCCATGTGCCTGTCTGTACACGCTCACCCATAACCCTTCATAAACGATCCAACGTACACACACACACAGACGCTCATAGATGCACTCCTCCCACAACTTGAAAGCAATACAGTGTCTTTTTTCCTCACCTAACATGTAACATCCTGCCATCCTGTGAGAGATAATATTCTCAAACACGCTCTTGCACTGTACGCTGTTTGTTGATAAAGTTTTCCACTGACAAACATTTACGCCTCATGATGACAAACTCCTGCTGTGATGTTATCCTTAGTGTAACGCAGTGTATTTTCTGCATGGCTGCTAATGATGCTGAGGGCATGACGGATGATGATGGTGATGAATGACTAATGATGAATGAGATGCAGGGTTTGATTATCTTTGCTGTGTACACACAAAGAACAAACCATCTGATTTTACAGCTATGACGTATCGTAGGCTCATGCATGGTACGTATAGTAAACGGTCCACTCACTCCTGCATCGTGTCTTTTTAACCTTAGGTACTACAAAGTGTTCTACAACGTCTTTCTCATTCACCTAATCACACACACACACACACTTGGCACTTGGAACTCCTTCATCTTAGACTGCTTTAACTACTGCACCTACTTCAACTGAAACAGATACAGTGCCTTGAAAATCCTTGGATGTTCTCTGCTTTTATTGCTTTTCAACATTGAATCATGGTCACTTTAATTTGGCTTTTTTTGAAAAGAACTTACAAAAATAGATTCATTCATGGCAGCATGAAAACCAATTTCTATAGAGAAATGTCGATTTAAAAAAAAATACAAATCGTCAAATAAGTGATTTCGTAAGTACTTGCCCTCTTTAAAGTGAGTCATCTAATTCAACACAGGTGCGGCCAATTCATGCTAGAAGTCAAACACTTAATGAAATGGAGATCATCTGAGTGCAGCGTGTACTCCTGGCTATAACTCCCACATGTAGACAAAAGAACACTCCAAACCACCCTGTGAAAAGGTTATTAAAATGCAAAAGTCAGGGGATGAACACAAGGACAGTCCAAGTCAGCGACTATCCCTTGGTGTACAGTTAAATCCATCATTTAGAAATGGAAGGAATATGTATAAATCTGCCTAAAACAAGCCGTCTTCAAAAACTGAGTGACCCTGCAAGAAAGAGAGTAATGAGGGAGGCCACCAAGACACCTATGACTCTTCTAAAATAGTTCACAGGCTTTAGCATCTGAGACAGGAGACATTGTTCATACAGCGACCATTGGTCTTCCCCTGTCAGAGCTTGATAGAAGAGTGGCAAAGAGAAAGTGAAACAACAGTGACTTCTAAAAAAAAAAAAAAAGCTCATATGAAATTTAGAGTTTGCCAGAAGTCATGTGTCAGACTCTGGAAGTCAGCTTTAAGAAGATTCTTTGGGCTGATGAGACCACAATTGAGCTTTTTGGATATCGGACCAGAGGCAACGTTTGGCAGACACTAAACTCTGCACATCATCACAAACACACCATCCCTACTGCGAAGCATGGTGGTGGCAGCATCATAACGCGGGGAGGCTTCTCAGCAGCAGGCCCTGAAAGGCTTGTAAAGGTAGAAGATAAAAATAATGCAGCAATGCTGTCATTGTAGCCAAAGGTTGTATCTACTAAATACTGACTTAAAAGTAAATATTTCTGCAATCACTGAATTTGCATGAAAAATTTTAAACAACTGATTTTACTTTCTAGAACTCTGTTTTCACTTTAACATGAAAGAGTCCTGTCTTTGAATAATTTTTTGCCAAAAAGATTATATTGATCATGATTTAATGTTAAAAAGCACTAAAAGAGGCAAACTTCCAAGGTAGGTAAATACTTTTTATAGCACTGTATTCATGCATTTAGGTCAAAACGACACTTACAACACTGCCATTATGGTATATTTAATATGATTACGATTAACCACTATGAACACATCTGCACAACTGTACAGCAACCCTGCATTAATCTTACATTTGTGAACCTTTTAATCGCATCGGAAGGGTGGTTTTAATTCATGTCTATGTTCATTTTTCTGTTTTTATAGCTGTCTATTTCTATGCAAAACAAGTCACACCTGTAACATTGTTGTCAGTGACCGATGTGCCAGGAAATACACTGACATGAGCGAAACTCACCATTTGTGCTCTCCAGGGCCAGCTGAAGGCCCAAGTTTCTGCCAGGGTTCAGGACCCAGTGGTTACTGGTGGCCGTCACGTCAAATACCAACCAGCCCTCCTCTGCTGCCCAGATCACCCTTGAGTCCAGCAGGAACAGGTCTGACTCCCTGGAGGGGACACAGAAGACACTTAAAAGTTAGATAGGAAGATGCACAATTAAAGCGAGATAGATCAAAATCACATGAAAGAGTGTAAAGCTAAGCGACCGAAGCAGGGAGCAAAGTAATGGAGTGGAGAGAGAGTCAGAGGAGTGTAACGGAGTGAAACAAAGAGAGAGATGGAGCAAGACAGAGAGTGAAGGAGGGAGGTGGGGAGGGCTCCAGATGGTGAGGCCCAGGGGAACACTTCATTTTCTTAATTGACAATAATGGCTTTATAAACGACCGGTCCTTTCATACACTACACACAGTCCATCACTGGCTGGAATTTTGTGGGAGAGCCAGAAAGCCAAAGAGAGAAAGAAGAGCAAAAACACACACATACACACACAGCTGCAAAAAAAAGGAAAAGACTGTGTGAAAAGCAGTGAGCGAAGTAGTGCATATCCAAGTCAGTCTTATTGTCCAGCAGTGAACTCTGGATTTTCTACTCTTTCACCATTGGAGACTTAATTCTCTTGTTCTTCATGTGGCCATTCATGTATCCCGACCTATTTTCTGACTGGGCAGATAGTGTGTCACAGAGCCCTGGTTCATTCATGTACCCAGGCCTGTCTCTGGCAGAGGAATAAATGACTGTGTTGTTCCCGCTGGACAACAGAAACCTTCAGGAGGGGTTAAAGAGAGCAGGACATGGGCCATTCCAGAGTTACACACACCTTCAGGACGGCCAAGACCAATCGCAAAAAAGAAGGCGTGTCAAAGTATATGAAGAGAGCATTCCAGATGATGAAGATGAGATGAACTGCTTTGGTGATGTTTAATTATTTTATTTACTGTCTAGTTTATAAAATATCAGAAAAGTGTGAAAAGAGGCTACCAGAAATTCACCGACTCCAGGGTGATGCCAGGAACTTTTTTTGCTTTTTTAAAATATCAATCCAAAACTATCCAAAAAAGAACAACAGGTGTTTTTTTACAAATATGCCAAAAAAAATAACCACCATTACATGATGAATACCAGTTTTTTTCCTAAGATGATTAATATCTGCTGTAAAAGGGCTTTTTAAAATAAACCAAAAATGTGGAATTTCTTTCATCTAAGAAAAAGGAACCAAGTCATTCTTCTTGATAAATAACTAATAGTCTACAGCCACACTAGCATCACAGCAGTCCTTTGAGCTAAATCATCAGCAAACTGACATGTTCACATTCACCATCTCAGCTGAATAGGAAGTACAGCTGAGGTTGATGGCAACGCAATTAACTCTAAAAGTATTTGGCCTTAAACCTACGTACTAGACAAGTTAGAAATTTGATCTGATGATGACACCAGATGAAAAACGAAATGATCACTTAAGGGAATTCAGTTTATCCTGAAGGGAAATTCAACAGTAATCAGTTCAACATTTGCTGAGAAATTTTACTGAAAACCAAAGATGTCAGCCCTTATGGTGGTCTTTAATAGCCAGACTGTCTGGTTGCACCTCATGATCACTCTGCTATAGGGGGAAAAAAACACATTCTGGCTTATTTGTATTTCTTTAAATTGATCACAGTCTGAGCCCAGGATGCAGCAACTGTGTCCCCTAAACAAAAAGTTATGATGGTCAATGTCATTAAAATGACCTATCCACCACAAAAGTCTAGTAGGGCTTCTAATTGTAGCAAATGCATTAACAATACATGGTCAATGGCAAGCTTATACTCCTGGTCTACACCTGGTGAGTCAGGCTAACCTCACAGGAGTGCCAGAAGAAAAATTAGAGGATCACCAAAGCACCTCCTTCTTCATGATTGTCTGTAAAAATGTCACAGAAATCCATCCAATTATCTGGACTAAAGTGGTGGACCAACTGGCTAACTGACCAGGTCGCTGACATTGCCATCCAGAGGGGCCACACCGCTGATAAAAATGCTTGTCAGTTGACAACCATTTCAGTACTATTCCACACACAGTCATTATTTTGCATCATGAGTGTTGTTTTAACAAGTTCCAAGCTCACCTGTCAGAGTGTTCCTCCAACACCTGATAGACACTGATACGGAACGTCTCGTTATCGTAACGTTCGTGGATGAAGTCTTTATATATACGAAACTCAGCAGCAGTGACCGCCTCGCCCTCAGGGATTCGTGACAGATCGAACCTGAACTCTCGATGATGCCGCCGCACTGGTAGGAACTCCTTGTCGTGCTCCACTGCAACAAAACAGACAACATAAAAGGAAATGTAAAATGCATCCTGAGACAATGTTTTCTTTTCGCACAAGCTATATTTTTATCCTTTACCAGCAGAGATACAACATTTCCACAGCAGAAAGAGAGGGCTACTGTGACTTTACATGAAACGAAGAAGCTGTTTTTGTGGTACTGAGTTGCGTCTTTGAGGGAAACAAAACACATGTTTGCAAAGGAGGCAGTGAACTAATGTGTTTTTTTCCTGCTTAAATGTTCTACAATTTATTCTTCCTCTACAGTCCATCAAGCTCAGTTGTTAGCGAGGAGCTGACACAGCTTGTCAGACTCGACGTCGGTCCCAGATTTAAACACGTCTGTAGATATGCAGTACACATGTTGGGTTATGATTGAAACATTCATGAGGACTAGCACTGGAAGAAATGCATCTGGCGAACACTGGGCCATGATAGAAAGATGCGGGTAGAACCTGACAGCTTTATGAGCCTCCTTTCTTCCCCCTCTCTTCCCTTCATAGCCCCAGAGAGTCATCCAGTCTGCCCTTCATCTGGTTCTCATGAGCTTGGGGCTCCATGTTTGGTGTACCCTATCCCCACCCCCTCCTCTCTCCCATCCACACATCCTAGCTTTTCAACCCCTCCTGTACCTACAGGACTTGCCCCCCTCCCGACCTTACTCTTCTCATTTCCCAGCAGGACAACCCAGAGGTCAGCGCCTTGTATCTCTTCATCTCCTGGATCTTCCCCCATCAACATCTTTATCGACTGTCAAACAGACCCCCCATTCGGTTATGTATCCATACATACACAAATAAATGCATCAAAGTACACAAACTAAATGACTTATAAAACTTTTAAAAGCACTACATTATTGAACTAGATCCAATGGACATTTTCAATCTTGTACTGCTTCTGTTTCTTGTACTATGGAATGCTGTAACAATGAATTAATTCAGGCAGAAAATAACTGACAATACTTTAAATGAAAGATCAGTTAAGTCATTTATAAGCACCATTTTCTTCCTTGTTCCCCCCTGACACTTATATGTCCAAAGAATTAATGAATGACATGAAGCAACAGCAACAGTATAGACACAGTGATTCTATGAGCTAAATGCTAACATGGTAACAAGTTATAGGTCAACCTTTAATATTATTCAATTAGGAATCCCTTTAGATAATTAATCCTGAAGAGGACATTTAATTTCCAAACTGTTAATGCAAATGTCAACCTCAGAGTGGTACAAAAGGAACAGTTAAAAGATCACCAATCAACACATAAGGATTTATCCTGTGGGGACCATGAACATCCAAAAAAAAAAAGAAAAATACAAATTTAAGTCAATCCAAACTAGTAGCTGAGGTGTTACAGTTTGTCCCAAAGTGGTAGAGAGGCTGACTAACAGGCTGACTGAGTCATTCCTACAGCTTTGGCACGAGCAAAGCATTGACCAATGAAATCAATGATGAAAACAATCCTTTACTTAAAGATATCAACCACGGGCCTCTGCAAGGCTGAGTCAAAGTTAAACAACAGAACGAAAACCTTTTCTAGCAGCCCTTCTTGCTCTCATCCTCAGCAGCCATCCATCCATCATTGGTATTTAACATTTTTATTTTATCAAAGTCAACTGCCTCCGTCTTTTCTACACAACTTGGGCGGGGGGAAAAAAGCAAAGTTCCAGGATGTACACTTTGCCAAACTATTATCACATTTACATATGTTCAACACAGTTCCACTCAAAGAAAATGTATAACTGTTTGCTGAAGTGGCTAAACTTACTTCTTTTGACAAAAATCTACAAAATGTGCAATTTGCCCAGGGGTGTGCATACTTTTTAACAGACAAATGCGAATGTTAGTGCACAGTGATGTAGATCTTATGTACATTTCACTAGATGACAAGTGCAGTGTTATTTCCCAGTAGAATCTCATCCCTACATCCCCTTTCGTTGGTTAAACACAGTTGCTTAAGGACAGTGAAGGACGCTGCTCCCATTAGATGGCCTACCTTTATGCTCCTTTGCCCTTCATCTTGTATATGCCCAGACTGAGCTGCTCTGAAAACAATGCAATTCAAGAGTGGATTCCTGCATTCCTTTACCCAGCCCCACTCATTTAATAGCTTTTTTTAATCTACCTGCCCAGTCTCTGTCAACACTTGTGCCAGTCCAACACTGCCAGTCACTCCATCAGTCAGGGTTTTCCTTGAGCCTCTAAGTCGCCCTTTCCAACATTACACTGTGCGTTAACAATACATACATTCTACTCAGTCTAAACCTCATGGGAGTTATCAGTTGGCTTTCACGGCTGCACCTGCGGCTCACCTCACACTCACGCTGTAAGGTAACCCAACAGTTTTGGCTTGTCACCCCTAAAAAGAAAGCAATGCGTGCTTGCGACCTGTCTCTTGAGTTTATGGTCCTGGTTGCGTGCATAAGCTATAAAGAATTCAACCAAGTACTGTTTTTCCCTCTCGGATTGCTTTTTTTTGAAGGATTTATAGAGGCCTAAGGAGGTAAAAGTGTCAAATATATCAAAATATATCAAATAATCCAAATGATTTGTGTAACAGGAATACAGATGTTTATATGCGATTAATCTTATTCCTTTTTATTCCTTTAGTCATCTAGTATCAGGTTGTAAAATACTAAGTCTGGCCAGTACCTCCGGAAAAATGCCTTTCACAACAAGACATGTTCTCTTTTTAAAAGAGAAATAGAACAATGAAAGGAGTACCATTTTAATGTTATTATCCATCCAGAAAACAATTGCTTCATGTATTTTTGGTACTGTCTTACACATTATACACACTTTATTCTTCTTAGCTCAAGGACCCGCTTATTCTTCCACTGCTCAGGGGACTTCTCCCTCCTCCTGTAGCCCAGTGCAGGTGCACTCCCTCTGGGGAGAAAAGCCAGACCTGTTCCTGAGCCTGTGGAGCAGCCGCCCGCCCCTTTACTGTAAAAGCTCTTCATCTTTTCTTATGAGAACAGCTGGGTGCTGCTGTAAAACTCCCACACTAACTATTTCTCTCGCATCACATTTCATCTCTTCACTGTGTTAATTTCATCTCATGTACAATTTGAAAGAAAAACAGAGCAGCATGTAGAAGGTAGCTAAAGCTTCTGCCATGATTCTGCCTTTGTCTTTCCGTTTCATTCTCTCACAGGCCATAACGGCAGCATGGCAGTCATTAGATGAGGGGAAGAGGCACAGTTAAAGCCAAGTGGGTGCATTTATGATTTCCTCTGGGAGGAAGCGAGTAGCCATCGCCCCACCTGTGTTGCAAACACACACACATACACCACAAACATGGCAAACACACCCATCTGAGCCCTTCATTCTGAGTAGCTAACGTCCAGATTGGTTTTTAGCTCTTCACACGGACACACACACACACACATACACACACTCTTGTGCATATACACAACTACTACAAAGTATTGCCTGTGAAGTGAACGGTCCTGTGCGTCACAGAACGGTAACACAATCATTATGGGTTTCTGTAATCCATAATTAGAGATGCAACAACGCACATACACACACACACACACGCACACACACGCAAAGAGACAAACACACAAGCGCACAAACACATACAAAGTGAGCTGCTTTTATCATTCGGTCTGACGTCTCATTCGCTTCTTCTGCAAACGCTGATGATGCACGGTCACCCCACATCGTTTGACTGAAGCGGGCCACACACATGCACAGCAGCACACGACACAGATGGCAGGATGACAGTGACTCCTCAGTCCTCCGGGTCTACTGAGCACCTGGCAACCAGAGGGTTAACAAAAGAACACTATGTTTCAAGATTAATGCTTGCAGCTTCCTTATTATGTTCTCTACTAGAGAGAGTCTGCACCTGCTTAAAGCCAAAAAAAAAAAACTTGGTTCTTTTCCCGAAAAATACTCAACAGTTGAAAGAATAATTCCGGCAACACATATATTATACTCGATCCACAATGGCTTAAACCTACAGCCAAAGCCTCATACAGCTCATTCCACTGCGCCATATGCTTACTGGAAGAAAAAACACACATCTTGAGCCACATCTTTATAGTGGATAGCATGTTTCTTTATTATTGTGAATGCAGCCACTGTAGTTTACTGTGAACCAATGCTACTAATCGTTAATTGACGCCTGTTTGACAAACATTTACCAAAACTATAGCCTTGTACAACTTTTGGGGACTTTTTAAAAACATGTATTTGTGACACATCTTTTAAATGTACATCATCAAACAATCTATGGTAGACAAGGCAAGACAGTAACGAGAGATGGACTGTTGGCTTTCACCACTTCAAAATAATAATACTGCATATTACCAGCCTGATCTTTTAACCCCTTGTCTGCCCTTCCTGTATGTCCCTCTCTTTCTTCTTTCCCTTTTCCATCTCCTCTCCCTCCTCTCTGTGGCTCCTGCTGCGCCTGCGGACCTCAGACACTTCTACGACACCTCTGGCTTCTGAGCAGCAGCAGACAGATCTGACGGCTCGCATTAGCCCAAGTGTCTGTTCGCCACCTTCACACCCCGTAGTCCTGCCTTGTGCGCTTCCGCTTCCCGGCGGGAGGGCAGGAGGGGAGGGGGGTCTCACCCCTGGCACCGCTCTCACTTCTCTCAACCGACAGCTTAAGCTTCGCCCCCCTCCCATCCCAACCTTATGCTCCCTTGAGTTAACCAACACTATCTGCACCTTCTTCTACCTCCATATAGAGCTCATTAACAACACACCTGGCATACCCCCCCCAAACAAGAACCCAGTCGGACAAATCAGATCACTTTATAGCAGAGGGTTGAGGACTGTAACGTTGCATTGAATCGTGAAAATTTGTCCCTTTTTTTTCCCCACATCCAACAAATGTTTTCTACACAGGACTGGAAGCAAGTAAGTCATAGTTTCCGTAAGCTAAAAGGAGACGGGTGAAGAAAAGCGGAGCGCAAGGAAGGGGTAGATTGCTCAAGATGTTTATCCTATAAAGAGTAAAGAGAGCTT